TTTTCAATTTTAATAATGAAAAATAAATTAAACAACTTATTTTTTTTAAATACTCAACTTAAAAATGTGAGGTTTTTGCTATGTAAAATGCCTCTGATTGAAGAGGAAAAGATTTGGCTAACATAAAAAAGTTTGTCTGAACTTCATTTTGTTAGATCGTAACTTCAATACATTAAACTGTTGCGTTTATTTATTTGTTTTATCTAAACAATATTTTTTTAGAGTGTATGTAGTTGCATCAAAAAATAAATACAATGTACTTACTGTGTTCATAATGTGTTTGAGAACACTTGTGGTGCTCTTGAGTTGGGATAGAGGTTGGGTTATGGACAGGTTTGGTGGTATGGGGTGGGTTAAAGTGTAAGGGATGGTCAACAGTGTATTTACAAATGCAATTACAGAAGTTAGTTACAGATGTAATAACATACAGGTATTTAATCAAGCATAAGTACACAGTAAATACATGTTTTTACACAATAAGTACATGGTAAGAAACCTATTAATTCCTATGTAAGTACATATTAGTTAAGACCACTTAATATAAAGTGAGACCAAATCTTTAACTCAGTTTTAAGGTTAGAGTTTTGAAAATGAGCCCACAAGGCAGGTATTCTGAACTGTGGTGCTGATCAACTATAATCCCGACTTGACATTGCTGATCCTGCGATGTGACTATTGCAGATTCACACATTTCGATATCAATGCTGAGACAATATATTGTGCAGCCAAACTGAAAAGTCTTAAACTGTAAATTTGGCTTAAAACAAAATTATGCAGCAAGTTCAGCGTGCAGGAAAATGTAAAACGCTGGTGTTTGTGACTCAGACATGTGAGGAAAACGAAGAACATGGTGCAACCGGCATGTGTGTATGCTTGTGTGGGTGTCTCAGTGAGCATGTGTAAGACATCTGTCGCTCTTGTGTGTGTGTATGTGTGTGTGTGTGTGTGTAATCTCCATCATGTGGAGGTGAGAGCATCAGTGTGTTGAGCTGTAGGAGTGAGAAGATCACCCTGCTGGAGTGTGTTTGTGACGTCTGAACTCTTGCAGCACACACACACACAGAACATGCATTGCTTGTGCTCTTTGGCATGCATATAAACAGTTGAAGCCAGAATTATTAGCCTCCCTTATTTCTTTTTTAAATATTTCCCAAATGATGTTTAACAGAGCAAGGAAATTTTCACAATATTACTGATAATATTTTTTCTTCTGGAGAAAGTGTTATCTGTTTTATTTTGGCTAGAATGAAAGCTGTTTTTAATTTTTTTAACACCATTTTAAGGACAAAATTATTAGCCCCTTTAAATGTCACTTTAAGCTGTATAGAAGTGTCTTAGAAAAATGTCTAGTCTAATATTATTTAATGTCATCATGGCAAAGAGAAAATAAATCAGTTATGAGAGATGAGTTCTTATTAGAGATGAGACCTTCCACCCGGTCGCCCCAAAATGTTGTGCAAAAATAGCAAATAAAAAAGTGCACAGATTCTGTCAATAATATATATATATATATATATATATATATATATATATATATATATATATATATATATATATATATATATATATATATATATAATTAAAAAATTATAATAATAATAAATAATAATAATAATAATAATAATAATAATAATAAAAAATGTATACTGGACTGTAATATATATATATATATATATACATATATATATATATATATATATATATATATATATATATATATATATATATATATATATATATATATATTACAGTCCAGTATACATATAGTAATAATAATAAATAAATAATAATAAAAAATAGGTGAATAAATACATCACCTCTGCTCATATCTGCTGCTGTAACGAGTCAGAAATGAGACACCTCATGTACAGTATGAAAGAGCCAACGTTTAGCGATAACATTTCCGTTAAATAATCCAGAGTTTCAAACATTTCAGGCAGATTCCTCGAGAGAGTTTGTCTCTCTCATTGATCTCCTCACAGATGCAGCGTTTGTTCACCGACTGTTTAAATGGTGGCTTTGGGAAATTGTCCTTTCTGAGTGAAACCTGCTGGCGAGCCTAAAGGTGATGCTGGGTCATCATTAGCCAAAGCAACCCAACCACCCGGGGCTGTCAATTTGTGGAGCGCTGGGCAGAATTTCACCTTCAACTCCCCAGTCTAAATTTAGCACGGCACGCAGAGCTCTGATAGCTCTCTAGCCAGAGTCCCCTGTCAGACACTTACAGGAACACGCACAGCTGAAGTCAGAATGATTCGCCCCCCTGTGAACTTGTTAAATACTTTCCAAATGATGTTGAACAGATTTTCACAGTATTTCCTATTATATTTGTTCTTCTGGAGAAAGTTTTATTTGTTTTATTTCGGCTAGAATAAAAGCAGTTCTTAATTGTTTTAAAGCCATTTTAAGGTCAATATTATTTTATGGGTTGAGAGGCGCCTCTTTTGAATGTTTTAATAACGGCCGCGAGTGTTTTGCGTGCTGCTTATGCGCCCTCGGGCCTGCTGCGCCTCACGTTTTTGCCGTTGAAAAAAAATTCTCAGCGGAAAAACCGTTACGTTACTCGCGTCTGTTTCACTCGCCAATCAAATGAAAGCAGGCTGGATTTCCGTTGAGGTGCCTGCAGTGTCTATGTTGTCGAGACATAGGAGAGACTTGTGGTTGCTGAAGAAAGAAAAGTTCTCCAGAGCTGTATGACTTCACAAATCTTGAATATCACAATATTATTCGATATTAAAGTTATATTGATATCAACAGCAACACCCTCGCAAAATACCCAGCTAATTTAGTCTTTGCCTAGCAACAAAAAAAAGCACACCTCGCTCTTATTTTCAACACCACCACAGCAGCTGCTCAGGATATGGCCTAGTCCAGGATTATGGAAACCTCAGTATTAATAAAAGAAGACTAACAAAAGGGCAGATGCCGTTCAAATTATAATGTCTTTTAGGAAGTGTTCCTAAAGTGTTTTGTAGGCACATGATTCTACCTACATTTCTACATAACCAGATATACGTTCATCTTGTTACTTATTGCTACGCTCTTCTTGTAAAATGTCCACAAGAGGGCGATATTATTTTTGTAATTTTGTGATTCCGGCTACGTTTTGGCAAAACCTGATATACATTCTACTTCTGATGCGTCCTGATACTGGCCTGGCATATGCAGTACAGGATTTTTTGCAATTTTTTGCGTTTGTGTAAACGAGATTCACTTTGAATCAACAAAAGTTTTGCTTTCCTTTTTTGTGAAGCTCCCACAGGAGAGTGATGTGTTTTGTGGGCACATGATTCTGCCTACAGTTCTACAAATACGTATATCCCGATACATAGGGCTCTATTTTGATGGTCCATGCGCAAAACGCAAAGCGCAAGGTGCAAACGCTTTCAGGGCGTGTCAGAATCCATATTTGCACATTTAAGGACGGGAATATCCACTTTGCGCCGTGGCGCATGGTCTAACAGGGTTGAGTTTATTTTCCTAATGAGTTATGGGTGTGTTTTGAGAATAAACCAATCAGAGTCTCATCTCCCATTACCTTTAAGAGCCAGCTGCGTCGCGCCATAAGCGCATTGCTATTTACATGACGTAAAGTAAGTTCACTTTCGCTTTCGCTCTTGGATAGGGAAACCTTTACGCACAGACATCAATTAGTCTATAAATAATTAATTTTGTTTGTTAAGCGCAAATATTTGTTTCAAAACTATTCTAAATTCAGTTCTAATTTCCAGCAAATTAATGAATGAACAATAATAACGAAGTGTGTTCAAAAACCTGAGTTATATCCTAAAACACATGCTGCCCCATATGGTCTAAAACCTGACAGGTGGGCAAATCTAAGCTTATTTTTAATAAAACAAATATAAATATGGATAAAATAAATAATACTGCTAATAATAATAACATTATACTAAAGCAAATTGAATGAACTGAAAAAGCCTCCCGAGATCAAGAAAGTATGAAGGCAGTGGCTTTTAAATTCATGTAGGCTAGAAATTAATATGTTATTATATATATATATCCTTAATATATTATATCTTTTTCATATGTAAAGATATTTGCGTATTGCTCTACATCTTGTGTGTAGTGTGTAAGCCAGGCGCACTTTGCGCCAGACAATAGACCGACTTTGTTCTGGTCTAAAGAACAGACTATTTTACAGTTTCTCAAAATAGCAACGTGCCAAAGCACGCCCGCTTTTTTAGAGCAGAACGCTTATGGGCGCATATATGATCGCAAATGCATTTGCTATTTAAACAGCGTGGCACAATGCCTCAAAATGACCCTTGCGCCGAGCTGAAAGTAGCAAGTAGCAAATGCGTTGCGTCTTGCGCCACATTGCGCCGGCTGTATGATGGGGCCCTTAATTTTAATCTCTTCTTGTAAAATGCCCACAAGAGGGCGATGTTTTTTGTAATTTTGTGATTCTGGCTACGTTTGGCAAAAATACGTGAAATTCGTTTCTCCTGATCCTGGCATGGCATATGAAATCGAGCAGTTTTTGCTGTTTTTATGGACGTTTAAATGCAGAATATTTTAAAAACATTGTTTAATGTGAAGCTTTTTTTAAAAAAGAAGAGAAAAAAGTGTCTGTTTTTGGCATTGTTTTCCTGTAAATGTATCTTGAGAGTGTTAAACAAAGTTAAGAAAGCAGGCAAATAGAAAAACACTTGCAAACTGAGAAAACATCATTAATAGGACAGCACGCATGCATGCAAATTCTCACAACACATGCAAATAGAGAAACATACTGCAAATAGTACAGACAATAGAAATGTCAAACTTCCATTGTCAATTTCTAATGTCAAAAAACCAATATAGCGAACTCTACGGTACTACATTATATACTAAATAATACATTTGGCACCCTCTGTAAGTGAAATTCTGTAAAAATTCGTTTAGGTGTAACATGTCAATTTAGCTAAAAAATTTCATGTCATGGAACTAAATCTGTTTAATTGATCCAAGAGTAAAGTTTCTATTATTTTTTTGTTCATCAGGTTACGTTTACAAAGAGGAAGTTTGGACTGATGAAGAAGGCCTACGAGCTGAGCGTATTGTGTGACTGTGAGATCGCCCTCATCATCTTCAACAGCACTAATAAACTCTTCCAGTACGCCAGCACGGACATGGACAAAGTTCTGCTGAAATACACCGAGTACAACGAGCCGCACGAGAGTCGGACTAATTCAGACATCGTGGAGGTAAGTTCCAGCTCAGTTCCTGTTGAGTTTGGCCTTTTTTTGACTAACTATTTTGTTTCAGTAGAGTTTTGAGAAAATGTGTGGTTGTTTTTGTGAGAACGTGTGGTTGTATTTGAGAGAATGTTTGGTTATTTTTGAGAGAACGTGTTTGTTTTTAAGAGAACGTGTTTTTGAGAGAACGTGTGGTTGTTTTTGAGAGAACGTGTGTTTGTTTTTAAAGGAACGTGTGGTTGTTTTTGAGAGACTATGTGTTTTTTTTAAAGAACATGTAGTTGCTTTTAAGAGAACATGTGTTTGTTTTTGAGGGAACGTGTGTTTGTTTTTAAAGGAACGTGTGGTTGTTTTTGAAGGAACGTGTGGTTGTTTTTGAGGGAACGTGTGGTTGTTTTTGAGGGATTGTGTTTGTTTTTGAGGGATTGTTTGTTTGTTTTTGAGGGAACGTGTGTTTGTTTTTGAGGGAGCGTGTGTTTTTTTTGAGAGAGATTGTGTTTGTTTTTGAGGGATTGTTTGTTTGTTTTTAAGGGAACGTGTGTTTGTTTTTGAGGGAACGTGTGGTTGTTTTTGAGGGATTGTGTTTGTTTTTGAGGGTTTGTTTGTTTTTGAGGGAACGTGTGGTTGTTTTTAAGGGATTGTGTGTTTGTTTTTGAAGGATTGTGTGTTTGTTTTTGAGGGAACGTGTGGTTGATTTTGAGGGAATGTGTGTTTGTTTTTGAGAGAACGTGTGTTTGTTTTTGAGAAAACGTGTAGTTGTTTTTGAGGGATTGTGTTTTTGTTTTTGAGGGAACGTGTGGTTGTTTTTAAGGGATTGTGTGTTAGTTTTTGAAGGATTGTGTGGTTATTTTTGAGGGAACTTGTGATTGTTTTTGAGGGAAATTGTAGTTGTTTTTTAGGGATTGTGTGTTTGTATTTGAGGGATTGTGTGTTTGTTTTTGAAGGATTGTGTGGTTGTTTTTGAGGGAACGTGTGGTTGTTTTTGAGGGATTGTGTGGTTGTTTTTGAGGGAATGTGTGTTTGTTTTTGAGAGACTGTGTGGTTGTTTTTGAGTGAACGTGTGGTTGTTTTTGAGGGATTGTGTGGTTGTTTTTGAGTGAACATGTGGTTGTTTTTGAGGGAACGTGTGGTTGTTTTTGAGGGATTGTGTGTTTGTTTTTGAGGGAACGTGTAGTCAACGTCTTCACAGTAAACCTTTTCCCCATGCGTTTGTGCTTTAAAATTGCGGATCAGGCTGAGCTGGAGCACAGGGACCAGGACTTTTCTGTATCTTGTCAGGACGGCATTGCGCAACAGGTTTAAGAGGGCAGGTCAGGTGCCACTGAGATTTAAGGTCTCGTTTTTTCATCGCCAGCACCTTACCGGACATGTGAGCTCCTGGTAAGGTCACGGGGCAAAGCGTGCAGTGGCTTTAGGTGAGGATTTTGTTGTGGTGTAATCTTCAGGATCTTCAGGGACTAAGACGCCAAAGAGCAACAGGCCTTTTCTAAACCACCTGTCAAGTCTGAGTTTGGGAAGAGAGAAGTTGAAGGTTCCCACCCCACATGCATGAAAGGCCATGGCGCTCCCAGTGGGAGCAATGAGAAAATATTTTCCCGGGAAAAGTCCCGTTTCCAGTAAAAAATCTGGTGCCACACAAACAAACGCTCTCCTTTACTAACTACACTCTAAAACATGCTGGTTTCAACACAACCCGTTTATATTGGGACAATATGTAGAAATTAAGTCAACTTATTCTTTGTCTGTAGTTTTGTTTACCAAACAAGTGGTTCCAACTAATTGAGCTTTGTGCTTTTACCTTAAATAACATATATAAAAACAACTTTTTATTTAACTTTTTAAGTTCGGAAGATAATTCAGCAGAAATATTTTAGTTATTACTACATATTACCATAAATCTATTATTTAATCTATAATCTATTATTTTTTGCGCATTCATTAATTAATTTTCCTTTGGATCATTCCTTTGTTTATCAAAGGTCACACCAGAGGAATGAACCACTTACTATTCCGGCATATGTTGCACACAGCGAATGCCCCTCCAGCTGCAGCTCTCCCCATGTTGGAGTGGGTTTCCCCTGGGTGCTCCAAGTTCCCCACAGTCCAAACACATGTGCTATAGGGGAATTGGCCGTAGTGTATGAATGTGTGTGTGTGTGTGTGTGTGTGAGTGAATGAGGCCCCGTTTACACTAATGTGTTTTAGTTTTAAAACACAAAAGTTTTGCTACGGTTACGCCATCTGTCCACACTAGGCCTGAGTTCTCGAGCGCCGGAAACGGAGCGTTTTGGAAACGCTGGAGAGGCTGTTTTCATTCTGAAACGCTGCTGCTCTGTCTCAGTGTGGATGAGGGAAAACGGAAACATCTGAAAACAGAGGCGGGGCTGCTGGGATTCGCTACCTGATTGGGGCTTTTGTGTCACTGCGTATTCTTCCCTTATTCGTCAAGCCCCTATCACATGACTATAACACATGGCTTCAACGCTACCGGAAGACAGCAGACCAGCCTTCACTGTAAACAACAACACGGACACAGAAATGGGAGCGTTGTTTGCACTATTGTCTGTTTTAGGTGCCATTGTGCAGTTATTCATTTGTTACGTTTAGTAACAACTCGACCTCGTCGTCTGTCCACAGAAATACCTCTCTTGCTTTCTTTACCATCGCGTTCATTGTTCAACCGGCGTTTGCTGACTAACAATAACCAAATGCCGAGCGAGACACATGCTTCCTGTTTATACTAGAACGCGCATGCCCAGAGTGCGCCAATGGACACGTGATATACGTTTTTGGTGACATAGTGTGGACGGAGATATGTTCAGAAATGCTAGTGTGGACGCGGATTGTTTTTGATCTAAAACGCCATTTTAAAACTAAAACGGACTAGTGTAAACAGGGCCTGAGTGTGTATGGGTGTTTTCCAGTACTCTGTTGCAGCTGGAAGGGCATCCGCTGTGTACAATATATGCTGGAATAGTTGGTGGTTCATTCCGCTGTGGCGCCCCTGATGAATAAAGAGACTAAGCTGAAGGAATGAATGGTTAACATGAGGAATAACAGTGCAGCTGCTGTAAGAGGCGTTTCGAGGTGCTGAAGGATCTCTTTATCTGTGTGTGTTTGAGCCGGTTATTGTTTCGCAACTCACTTCACTCTTACACACAGCAATCTGTGAATGCGTGGGGTTGATTTGGCTTGGGATAAGAGTAATACTATGGATATTTGCATAAATGTGCTCCGTTATTATTCTGTACACTACAAAAAATCCTGGTTGCCTTCAGTTTTTAAGCTGAATCAAATTAACCTTATGAACTTATATTTTGTTAAACTGACTTAAATCCGCTTGCTTCACTTTGAAAATTAAGTTAGAACATAATTAACTTAGTTTAATAAGTTACAATGACCTAAAACATATGCAGTCAGGACTAAATTAATCATATAATTATGTTTAAACCCAGCAAATTACACTATATATTTCACTTGTCATGTACTTACTGTTATTCAAGTATTTAGAACTGCCTTAATCCTTGATGAGAGATTAAACATGGTACTGGAAATATTCCTCAGAGATTTTGCTCCATATTGACATGATAGCATCACACAGTTGCTGCAGATTTGTCGGCTGCTCATCCATGATGCCAATCTCCTGTTCCACCACATCCCAAAGCTGCTCTATTGGATTGAGCTCTGGTGACTGTGGAGGCCATTTGAGTACAGTGAACTCATTGTCATGCTCAAGAAAGCAGTCTGAGATGATTGAGCTTTATGACATGCTGCATTATCCTGCTGGAAGTAGCCATCAGAAGATGGAGACACTGTGCTCATAAAGGGATGGACATGGTCAGCAACAATACTCAGGTAGGCTGTGGCGTTGATGCTCAATTGGTACTAATGGACCCAAAGTGTGCCAAGAAAATCTCCCCCACACCATTACACCACCACCACCACCAGCCTAAACTGTTGATACAAGGCAGGATGGATCCATTCTCTGTAAACCCTAGAGATGGTTGTGCTTAAAAATCCCAGTAGATCAGCAGTTTCTGAAATACTCAGAGCAGCCCGTCTGGCAGCAACAACCATGCCACGTTCAAAGTCACTTAAAATCCCCTTTCTTCCCCATTCTGATGCTCAGTTTGAACTGCAGTAGATCCTCTTGACCATGTCTGCATGCCTAAATGCACTGAGTTGCTGCCATGTGATTGGCTGATTAGAAATTTGCATTAACTTGCAGTTGGACAGGTGTACCTAATAAAGTGGCCGGTGAGTGTTCATTAACTAACCTCATTGTGAAGTGTGACCATCATTATTATACATTGCCTGTTCATTCTGCTGGAACATCATTGCACAGCCCATTCACACAGTTAACACATGCATTACATGCAGAACCCTCGGGGTCAGATTTAGCTGTGTGTTTATGAGAAGTAGAAAAAGCGGCACGAGAGTCTCCACGAGGCAAATCTCATCCAGTTAGAGAACCGGGATAATCCCATTTCCTCGATTAGTGTAATCTGCAAAACGCTCCGTTTAATCCTCAAAACGTTACAGCCCCAAAACCACCGCACGTTTTCCAGACCACACACACCTTCCGATTACTCCCTATCGAGAGTGGGTCGACACGAGGAAGGAAAACGTTAATTATTTCCAAAGGTCACGCTGTTAATGACTGCATGGCCGGCTAATGAGATTGAGCAAATCTGTGTGCGTTTGGAGCTTGACCTCTTGTGTTTTTGGGTCTGCGCTGGAAGGCATCGAGGTGACAGTTTTCCCCTCCTCTAGTCAGCTTCACCACACAAAAACATGCCTGCAGCGATTGGCACGTCCGTGATGTGATTTCAGACCGAACGAACAAAACATAATCAACCTACTTTTATTTTCTGGCTCTGATTCAGGCACATTGGCCTCAAACGCTTTTCTAATTGAGATAATTTGTCTTCATGTAGTTGCACGCCGATGCGTTCTTCAGTTTTTGTTTGCATTCGCAGTTCACTCGCAGTTTGAAACAATATTTCAGC